GTGAAGAATTGCCCAGACCTGTGTAAGTGTGATGAGCCTTGACTTAACTCACATCAGATTTATCTTTTACTCTAGACAGCGTCACACTGGTGCATACCAGTCAGGATGTTTCATTTAACCTGACAGCAGTGCTTCAGCTTGCGAAAGCAGCAACACCGGCAACTCAGAGCGAAGGCTGGCCGAGTTTCAAAGCGAGTAGATCCTACGTTATGTGCTTACAGGCACTTTGCCTTGTTGCTCTATCACCTACTTCTAACACAGCGGTGGGTCTAGTTACCAATTCCTGCAAGTGGTTGTCTATCAAAATTTCACATTCCTACAGCTTATTACCATTATAGGAGCAGTTATTATTACACTTATTTCCTGGAACCAGTAAAATCCTGGCTTACAGATAACAAAATAGGATGGCAAAATAAGTCTGGTCCTGTACGCTTCAACGCATTTGGAAAAATGTCTGTTAAATCAAGTCACAAGAGGATCCGGCCTGAAGCAAGAAGTAGCATGCTGGAGAGTTTGTAAACTTGGGGGAGGTGGGACACAACATCCTCTGTAGTTTCTCAGGTTTTAGCCGTTTCATTACTGGATTTGTTGTATCATTTTTGTGTCTTTTCCCTAAGAAATCCCTAAAAGTGGGATTTCTCTGCTTCCGAGAAGTTGCTCTCCTTCTTCCTGACGTTAGGACGGCGGTGGCCAGGAGTCAGGGCAGACTGCGCTCTGCAGCACTGAAAGCTACCGACGTGCATGCAGCCACCCTGCGGGTTTTTTGAACCGCTCAGTGCTTTTTAAGTCAGTGTGGTCTTAGCAGCTGACCAGCATAATCGGTCAGAGGGTAGGGCTTGTTCTTATTCTTGCTGCGTGGCTATTGGCACATGAGCTGATGTGGGGTTTCTTTCTGATTGGGTGCTATGAGGTCATCGGGGCCGGGCACTGCACCGAGGCTGGCGATGTCGGTGCTCCTTCCCAACTCCACCACGTATTGCTTGGCCACCTCGTTGTACCTGGTCCCTTCTCCTTCCTCTCCCGTCTGTGAATTCTTCAGGCAGGAGCTCTGGTTTCCCATCGTGTCAGCGTGATACCAGTTCCCATCTTCATTTCGTTCAGTCCTCATAGTGTTACTGTACTACAAGTGAGAAAATGCTCTGTTTGATATCACCCACCTCCACAAATCATCTCCTCAAGTCAAGGACTCCGCTACCAGAGAGTTCTGAAAATTTGAAATTCTTGCAAACATAATAGAAAACTGCTTTCTCTTTTCGCTACATTTTAAACACAAAATTAATAATGTGGAAAACCCCATTTATATTTTCATAAGATACCTCTGCAGTAGGTATTTGGCACAGTATGTTTAGTCACCCTGACAAAATATTTATTTCCCATGGACCTGAAATTTATTTTTAAAAAAACTTTAAGTTGAGCCGGGGGACAAAGGACCTGCTCACTCCTTAAGCCCAGTAAAAGGTGATCAGTGAGACTACAATATCACTTTTGTTTTCTACAGTGGTTATCCAGCCCCCACCGTAAATCTAATCCCTGCAGCTTTCCCAACAACGTATCATCAGAAACATGTCACTGCCAATCAAGCTTTAACAGTTGGACTTTATGGAGTATAATTGAGGGAAAATAGATATATTCATTATAGTCAAAATACAGAGAAATGCCCAGTAGAAGATACATTGGAAGAGATAATAAGAACATTTAATGGTATTTCTGTATGCTGGTTGTTCTGTGCCCTCCTGTAGTATGCAGTTGCCACCTATTAATTAATTGCTGCCAGTTAACAAATGCACCCATTCTGTAGCAGAATTGCATTGAATTTCTTTCCAGTGTGTCAGATCTTTTTGTCTTACTCTTCCTCTCCTAGATCATGCTTGTGGCTGGTAAATTGGTTTCTGAAATGCAGTCTCACACACTTTGCTTTTGAGTTAGCTTTCCTCTCTGCAGGACACTGCTATATACTGTACCTTTAAGTACCCAAATCAATTTAATTAAATTTCATTACAGGCACTAGAGCTGAAACAAACTAATGAAAGCAGCCATCACGTCAGGTGGTATTTATCTCGGCATTAAATTGAAAATACTCCCTTTAGGCTCTTAAAAATTAGTTTCAATATTTAACACTAATAGCTTTTGGAATTGTTGATGGGGATGGTTTTAATGAATTTGTTACAAACTGTTTACCTTTCCAGGGAAGGAAGCTTGTTCCTTGCGGCAGAGGAGAGCTAAAGATAGGTAACTTAAAAGTCTTAGGGCTTTGAAATACTGTGAGGTCTGGGAGCTGCCCGTAACGCGTTGAAGAAGACCATGAAGGTTGTTGTACAGTGATAGCAATATGCCTTGTTTCGTCAAAAGCAATGCCAAGTCACCACAATGCCTGTGTTAGAGTTTATTGTTTGGCTGACTTGTTTTATTGAGCTGATTGGGCTTGCAAACTTGAGAGTTTGTAGCAGATTTTATTTGAAGACCTCATTATAGGCACTACTCTCAGCAGAGAGAAAAATGAAAACTTGCAGGGAGGAGAAGAAGGAAAAACATCTGCCACGCAGAAGAATGCTATTGCCAGCGTCCCAGCTACAGCTGGGTTTTGCTCCCTCACTGCTGAGGCACCTTGCAGTGCTGTTTCTGAGGAAGCAATGTTGACAAAGTACCTGTTGATACTCTGCAGAACAAAGCTGCTGGCACGTGCTATTTCTGTGGAGACTGTGGGACCATACAGATAACGGGGATTTATTTCATCCACTTCCCATCAGAGCCAGGGCCCAGGTATTAACGCAGACAATATAGATGGAATAGACAACAAGAAGAAAAGTTTAGCGGAAGTTTCAGGTCACTTTTTTCTGACCCACATGCCAGGGATTTATTTGAGGGAAGCAGGAGTGCAAAGGGAGAGTGTACCTGGCCATGCATGCATCAGAGCCACAAAGCTGGTAGCACTTCTGACTTGCACTCCATAAGCATGGCTGGTGTCTCCTCCTTTTGCGGGCAGACAGTAACAAATAGTCTATTCCTTCTCCTTTTATCAGATCTAGAGTCCATACTCTTGGTATCTTCCTCTTCAGCAGTCTGTTTAAAAGAAAATAAATGATCAGAAAACTGTAACAGACTTAATTATAGAGTCACCTTTCTGGTAAGAACTTTTGACCCCAGAGCAGACGGAAGAAGGGAACTCAGCAGGATAAAGGCATGGACTTCTCACATCTTTGCTACTTCATTTGTATAGTAAAGAAAACACCATGCAAGTTATTAACAGGAGATGTAAAAATAGTGCTAAGTATGTTATTTACAGTGTTGACACTTGGATAAGATTATTGGACTTAAACTATTCATTATAATTATAACTATAAACTATTAGTTATTTATATATATCTATTATATATACATAGTATACATGTATATATTGAAAAGTTTCTAATAATTTCCAATTCGATTTATCATTAGGAAGTTAGGGCTTTGCAGATGGTTTTGTTTGCATTCCTATTGATCCTCCCTCTAGGTTGGAGGACACGGCTCGTGTAGAAGCTGCTTGATGGAAATGGAAGACTGGATATAGAAAATTTTGGTTTAAGCAAGTGGTATTAAAGATTAACTATTTCTTTTTTCAAGTTACTCTTACTATTTTTTATTAATTAACTACTTTTCTTCCTTATATTTTCTTATATGATTGTCATGAAATATGAGGTGCAGTTCAGTGAAGTGTCCTAAACATGAGTGACCTCTGTGGACGAACACTCACGATCAACTCTAGGGAAAGTCATCATTCTACTGTGAAAGATATGGCCCAAACTTCACTCTTCCTTTTGTTTTCCTTTGAAATTACGACTAACATACATGCATGTTTATACAAATGCATTACGTAAGGTGTGCAGACACTCAGAATCTGTAGTTAGGTGTCACATCTGTCTATCCTAATTTACATATAACATTTCCTTCTACATCAAGTGTAAGTATCTTCCTCCTGCTGTTTTTAAAAGAGAGTGTCACATTCTTGCTGAGTTCTTTTTCTTAAAAGTCTAGTGGAAGGGGGTTTTTCAGACCATTTTCTCTTGCAATTCCAAGAGCCAGGTGCCCGTGGTGCCTGTGGAGGGAACAAAGTCAGAGAGATACCTTGGGCAAAGGCAGAGAGTGGGAGGGGTTGGGATTCAGGGTTGGATGCCTGGAATAGCCTGACGTACCCCAACAGAGAATTACTTTTCTGTAAGCAAGGGGAAAATTCCAGCTATTTTTTGGTAATATTATATCGTGTTTGTTTTTATTCAGCATTTCATTGCAAAAATGTTGTTTAGCACCATGCCAGTGCTTGACTCAATTTCCACTAAGCCCAACAGAATGAAGGCATTTTTAAAAGGCTTGTGCCTTCAGTGCGAAACTGGGAGAACTCTCTTACTGATTTAGATTTAACAAGCAGTGATAAAGACCGTTAAAATCTATCAATACTTTAAGACATTTGAAATACTGTCATTTAATAAGAGCACTAGCAAACGTCAGTTTATTCTCTCATGGAGAAATGAGAGAAGATTTAAAACTACTTTTAATATCCTTTTAAAACTGTAAAGTACATTATTTTGGATTATTGCATTATATTATGGTATAGGAGCAGAACATGAATTATTAAAACTCCTTTTTTATTTCTGAACTAGCTGTTTCTGGTGTTTGTATTACTTTGTTTCTTTTTTTTTTAAATACACCATTAGCACAGTTTTAAATAGAAGGAATAGAATTTCTTTCTGTACATCTTGGAGAAGAATGCAGCAAGGAAAATGTGTTGATTCTTTTTCCCTCACGTGTGAATGGGCAGTTAGTATAACTAGACTACAGATACCCAAATACAAATAGTTACAATAATTTCAATAATCCTAGAGCCTCCCCATCTATTTACTCCAAAATTTCCTCATAAAGTAGAAATTATTTAAAGCAAAAACTGATTTTCACAGTGAAAACATGCAGTCTTACAATTTGGAATCTTTTCATAGCCAGAATGCCATTTGCAATGTGAAAGTAGAGGCATGGAAAAAGACAGACCTATTAAACAAATAGCCAAAAAGTTGTTCAGTGTTTTCGTAATTAGCCTCTTTCCGAAATGTGTTATTTTACAGAACTTTCTGCATTTTAATTGTTCTCCTGGTGTGTCAGTACAGTCAGCACATTGTGTCCTGCACCACTAAGAATAATTGCCACCCAGTGGCAGGAAGAAGATAGTAGCCCACTTGTGTATATGTGGTGAAAACACTAGAGGAAAATACTCTGTCCTTAAAATGGGGAACTGCGTGGCGTTTTCACTGACTGCTGTCGCAATGTTTGATGTTGCAGGACGGATGGTCGCAGTATCACTTTGTAGCCTCATCTTCAACAATAGAAAGGGATCGACAAAGACCGTACTCTTCATCACGCACGCCCTCCATCTCTCCCGTGCGCATGTCTCCTAACAACCGCTCAGGTAAGACCAGGCTTTCAGGACTGAAGTCTAGACAGAGGTAATCCATCACTGTCATTTTCCTTCGTTAAGCAATGTCACTGGCATCCAGATTTGTTAACAATGGTAGAAGGGCACAGAATAGATTCTTTACTCTTACCTGAGTTATCTGTTCAAAACAGGATTTATTTATTTATTTATTAACACTTTGTATACAGCAGAAAGAATATGCCATACCTTTTTGTTACGAATTCCCATGCAGTGTTTTCCTGATTATGATTACCTGGCTAGATCTCCATTTGTAGCATGAGGAAATTCTGTTATTCATTTGCTAGTCATGAAGACCGCTATGACTACTCTGCACACTTAGCAGCAGTTGCAGGATACACCTTTTTTTTGTCAGTTTTTATTCTGATCATATGTCCATGTGCATGTAAGCGCACATACACATGCAGATGTAAGTTTCACAAAGGATTGACTACAGGTCTTCATGTAACTTTGATGACATTTACACCAGCTATCATTAATTCTGTATGATCCATTCAATGAATTCATGTAAATATCTCAACTTATGCCACAGTGGTAATTAATTTTTCTATTTTGAAATCTGGGCATTTCTCCCCCAGCTTATTCTATGGTAGAACATACCTTGGTTGGATAAAAGTATTCCCAGTGAAAATCTTCTAAAATAAGCAGAGTAAAACAGTCAGCCTTTCAATGTGCTTTTTACTACTTGTTCAATTAAATGCTCTCATTCACAGGTATACTAGGAGTTTAGGATTAAAATTGGCCAAGCTGAGTATCGCCATCAGCACTGTGCCGTAGTTTTGTTTTTAAGAAAATTGTTTTGTTAATTATCTCAAAGCTGCGTCTTAGTCCTGCAGAACAACCACTGAGGAAATTTGAAAAGGTAGCCAGGAGTACAGTGAGAGCTGCTATTCGGTTTTCAAAACCTGCTATTTCACAAGTCTGCAAAGGGCTCTTGTTCTTTTTTTTCTTCTCCAGAGTCTCATTTTGACTGTAAGTGCAAGGCACTTGAAATGTCTGGCCCTGAGATCTTAATTCTGTCTCTTGCCAGAACGGTCTCTTTGCTTCTGTTACTCTATTGCTTAAAGAACATACTTAAAGAAATTTTGGATTAAATCTTACTGCCATCATCAAGTTATCGTAAGACTGGAGGAGGACAAATACAGTGCTTGTTTCTGAAGGAAGAGGAGCCCATGCAATTATAGACAAATCAGCTCAACTTAATTCTAGAAAATTGCTGGAACAAATAATCACAATCTGAGCACCTCAAAGATAGTAGGAACATAAGATACTGCTTAACTCTAGGAGTATGTATTTCTACATAGTAGTGTAAGTTACTGTCTGTGTGGTAGTATCCATATCAAATCCAAACATTGGTTCAATACGATTGGTTCTTATGAAATCCACCTGAATTCCTTCTACGACATACTTAAAACACTTTGTGGAAAGAATAGTCAATAAATGAAATCTACTGTAATCGGTAAGACTCGTTCACACAAGATTTTGTAGGCAAGCTAGGGCAAGCTAATGAACAGTCCAGAAGATGTCATGTGCTTTAAATACAAAACTAACTGAAAACCATTTGCAAAGAATGAGTATTGCTTATTGCAAAAATGGAAGAATGCTTTGATTGGAGGTTTCCCTTGGGACCAGTACTCTTCAGTTGTTTCATGAATGACCCAGATAATATACAAAGAATGCCTATTGCCTTTGCAGGTGACATAAACCTTGGAGAAACTCATGTATCTTGAAGGTCATTATTGGAATTCAGAGCGATCCTGAGAAATTGGAGATACTGTCCAAAGGGAAAAAAGATTCAGTCTTTTAGAGATAAATTATAGAAGAATATCTGTCTAGGCAAATGTTCTTCAGAAATTATTTAGGGACTTTTGTCATTTGCAAACAAGAATCAGGAGATGGAGAAATCAGGGTATGAGGACACACTGAATGGACTGTAATTGTTTAACTTGAATGAGAGAGACACAAGATGTGGGCAGTGGGCAGAAGTACACGTCAAGTATTCAAGCATGTAACAGCCAACTATGAAGAGGAACAGCATGAACTTTCTCTACTTTCATAGCAGACAAATGGAAATAATAAGCAGCAAGGAGTCAGTCTAGACGCCAGGGAACAGTAGGGAAACAAAGCACTGGAACAGACTGCTTGGAGCAGTTATGTGGTCTCTGTCATTAGAGATCTTTAGTTTTAGATGAAAATCTGTCAAGAATTATTTTGGTATACTGGATCCTACCTTGGGGTAAAGAGTTGAAGTAAATGAACTCACAATGTCCCATCTATCCCTAGGACTTTGTGATAAGCTGCTTTAACAAGCGTAGAGAGCTCTGTCGTCTTTTCTGTGTCCTGTAAGAATAAGAGCAGAAAGCCTTAGTATCACTTTTCAGTCTAATGTCAACTAATAATTTTATGTCTGCTTTCAGTAAAAACTCTGAAAAAGGGCACTTCTGGATTTTAGCACTTGCCAGAAAGCAGTTGTTCTCACATGGGAGGAGAGAAATAATTCCCACAGGGAACAGAGAGAGGGTTTTGTCTTTATCAGTCAGTTTTGTTCAAAACACCAGAGTGCTTAAAAGCATTTCCAGAGTATGTGAAACAAAATGCATCCCTGTGTTAGCAACTTTTTCAAGTTTTGCATTCTGTTTTGTTCCCTATTAGACTCAAGTTGCCATTAGCTTATTTGGTAATTTAATGTCATGTTTCTTTATATCTGCTGGATTATCAGCTTTAGAATTACATCACTATTGACAAGCAATTTAAAAACAATCCCCAATTCTAATGGCTTCGTAACAAAAACAGTCTGTCCCACATTTGCTCTGTAAATTCAGAAGCCAGGGCCAGCAGAACCAATCTAAGTAGAATTCAACACCACTTGTGCTTCCCTATTCCTTAATTAAGTACAAGTACTTCCCTGCTCCTTCAGTAAAAAGTGTAACATAGTTTAGAGATGCTGAAAGACATAACTCATGATCAAGCTTCTCAAATGAGCTCCCCCCCCTTTTTTTTTTTTTTAAAGCAAGGACACTGTTACTGCTTTTGAGGTTCTTTTGACATATCAAATAGCTGGGTGGAGGCGGGGCGGGGAGTGGAAGTGAGCACCAGCACTTTAGTTATTTTTGCACCACTGTGCACGAGGCTCTGGGGTGCTCTGCCACTCACCTTTGTACTCCTTCCCCTGCCCTCCACAACAGGGGCGGTGCATTGTATCTACCAACATCTAAATATTTTTAAGTCAGTTTACTTGAAAGCCATTATTTTTTCTTCTGCTTTTTTCCTTTCCTTAAGCATCACAAGCTCTAAGCCTTCATCATCAGTGCCAGTGACCATCTTCACATTTTCCAGCACATGAGAATCAAGTACCAACCCAGTGCTCCTCCTTGTCACCTGGTACTTTCCTCCTTTTAGCCATACCATGAGTATCGGTGATCAAGGATTTCGTTTTAATGGTACCTTAAAGTAGCAGTTGTTGCTTTAATGGCAGTTGTTCATACATAAATAATTAAAAGTAGAGAAATTATTCAAGTTACCTTTTAAATGTAGGCATTATTTGCTGTTTCCTATGAAAAACATCTTTCTTTTCTTCGTGTCCCCATTAGAATCATTTAATGGGTTTGTTTATTTTCAATAGAGAAGGGAAGAAACCATTTTATAAGGGTTTTTCCACACAATAGAAAGTTAATGGTCTTTTCAAAAGAAATAAATTTACCATTTTGAGAAAAAAAAAATTGAAGTGCCTCTACCAGGCGGTTTTGACAAGATAAAGAAATTAAAAAACTAAAGGGGGAGAAAAAAAACATTATTATTGTGCTTTTTTCTTAATGATCATCTTAGATGTTGGGTGTAGGTGAAAAAAGTAAAACACTCAGAGAGAAAGTTATGTTTGGAACTCATTGTCCCATGAATATATTTGTCCTGTATTTGAAATAACAACATCTTTTCTTCCATAATGGGGTACTGTTTCGTCAAACAGCTTAATGTTAGTACGCTAACAAATATAAACTTTACTAAAATGTTTACTCTAGAGTTAAACACTACATTCAGTCATATGTGGCAAGAAAAAATAAATCCCATTTTTATGATCTAGCAAGTGCCCCAGCTTCACCTCGGGAAATGATCAGCCTAAAAGAAAGAAAAACAGACTATGAATCAACTGGAACAAATGCCACTTACCATGGAAATAAGGGAGAACACACTTCTAGGAAAGACACCATGACAGGTGAGATTATGCTTGCATGGCATATATAAAAATCAGCTGTGATAGACCACTGATTTTACAAGCTTGGCTGAGTTTACTGTACTCCAGAAAAGAGTCAGCCTGCTTTGGCTGACTCCAAAGTTTTAGCCACCTTGAGAAATACAACTGAAGAAACATTTGATCTTAATGAACACAATGCTGTGTGAAAATTATTTGTGAAGATGATGTTTTTTCACAGGGGAAAGGGTCTAAAAGCAATTTTACATTTCTTTTTAATTTTAGGTTTGTTTTTGTTTCAGAAGGAAGTGAGTAAATCCACTTTGTATTAACTAGCATTCTTTCTGAAGCATGACAATGGTTAAGCATGTATGGTGATTCCTAACATCTGTCTTTTGCAGGGAATGGCTTTCTGGGACTGGTTAGTTTATTTTGCACCTCTGTCATTCCTAAGAAATTCAGTAGCAGTTTGTAAAGTCTATCCCTGTTACTTTCTCAGCTGGCTGATGTAAACAGAACAGTTTTCTCTGTGTATGTTATTGCATTTATTGCAGGTTTCATAGAAGGCTTCTCTCCCCTAGTGAGCTCACTAACCTGTTAGCATTTCAGTAATTATAAAATTTTGAGTGCTTCGCCTAGTACTGCACTTTGTAAATTCTCTTGCAAAATACATGTTGGTCTCCATCACCATTGCACAGGCTTATATAACCTCTGTTGAACATCGTGGTACGTTTATACAGTGCCAAGAATCATGGTGTCCTCTCCTCCAAATGCTACTTCAGGGAAAGCCAAAGATCACAGTGAGGAGTCACTCTGCACTGAACTTTCTGAATGCTGGTACCTTTTCCCAAGCCCTCTGTAGAGGTCTTGCGCAGATGATGCCAGAGTGGGCTGTCTTTGTGTTCCTCAGCTCACTGGGGACACCAGTAGCATGCTTGACTCAGCATCAAGCCATCCATACTAGCTTTCAAGACCGAATTTAGGATATGGTAATACTCATACTACATCTACTGTGTTATACACTTTTGTGTAATCAAAACCTGAAGGCCAGCCTTTGAATTTATGTGAAAATGCAACGCGGAACATTAATTAGCATCAAAGTGAAAATCTGAAGAAGAGGAATGAGTCAAGAGCATTTGGAAACCGCAGAAATGAGGAGTGTCATGAACGGCATCTGCAGCGTACTGCATGAGGTTGCAGCAGATTTAGTCAAGGTATTGCATTTTATATATCTGTAGTATTTTGAGTGTTTCATGGGCACTGCACAAGGTGGTTCTCTAAAACACTTCAGTGGCCTTTACTTGTGTGATTGTGAAGGACAGGACTGCGTTTTTTTCACCACTTTGTCAAGGATCCATGAAGAGGGAATCTGGGGACTAAGAGCAGCAGGCTGAAAAGGCAGAAACATTAGTATTTTGTTCTAGCTGTATCTGCAAATTTAGACTACCAGATTATATCAGAGGTTCACCAAAAGAAAAGGGGGGTTCTGTGTTGAAAATCTGTGTTTCCTTGCAGATAGTCTTGTCTCTCTCCACTCTTTAAAAAGTTGGGGTTTTCTTTTTCCCCATCCCTTTTCATTTTGTCTTTTACTGTAGTGTTTTTCTTCTCTCATTTCTGTTTCTCTTGTTTCCTTTCTCTTACAATATAATTTACAGATCATGAGGTTTGTACTTCCCCAGCAACCTTTGCTCCACTTTGATTTTTGCATCGTGTTTTCCTTTAATAACTGCTTATATTTTGTCTGTTCTTATTTGATCTTTTGGGTGGGCTTTTAGTAAGGAAACTTGAAACTCAGTATCATGCTCAGCTATCGACTATTTTTCCAGCTACTGAGCTCAGTGAGAAAGATCAAAACCAAAATCAAATTGAGAAGTTTAAGAGTATTTCACAATCTTACATGACCATTGCACAAATTAATATGAAATTAACAAATCACTTTCTCTTTCTTTCAGGTCACCAAATCTCTGCTTAATTGGTCTGAGCTCAAATTAAGCATCATTCTAAGAACAAAAGAATATGACAGTTAGAAGGAGTCTTACTCATCAACATTCAACATTAAATTTGTGTAACATATTTGTAGCTCGTAAAATAAATATTTCATTAAAGAACAATACAAAATCAGTATTTGGGATTTTAATTGTGAGACATTTTGACTTTACTTGGATGGTGTAAGTTCATGTAGCAAGTTCATTGCAATGCATGTATTTCATTTTGTGCATCAGACAATGCATTGCAGCTAATACATCCACAAAGCCTACGGGACTTGATAAATGTTTTTTCAGGTTCCACTTGGCATATACGTATTTTGAGCTGCTCTTGTATTTTGTGCCAAGCTGATGTATTACCCAAAGATTTCTTTGACTTACTGACTTACACAGAATGTGGAGCCACAGCTGTAGTCCCAATTTATCCACAACTGTCTCCATGCTCTTCCCCAAAGCTCTTCTCAGTTTATAGTGCGAAATTTTTATGACCTCTTGTCTGGGACTGAAATGAAGGTTTTTTGATGGATTTTCGAAGTAGAAATGTTGGCTTCTTGCCATTGTGGGGAGTTGTCAGGAAACCTCTGGGAAAAATGGAGACTCTATGAAGTAAACGGTTTGGCTGAAGATGATAACTTATATTGATTTCACAAGGACAGCTAAAAAATAGAGGAACAATATCGAAGTTTTCACTGCCCTCTTCCCTTCACAGGTTTATGATGCCTTGTATATTTACTATCCATCTTCTCTTTGTAGAAAATAATAACCAATAATAAAATTTTATCACCTAAAGTATATTTTTAAGACAAAAACTATTATATTCCTTTTAAAAAAACAGGAATTGTAAGTGCATGTGAAAACATTATTTATACCATGCTGTTTTCCTTCAGTTCAGGGAAGATAATGTTTGTATCGGGACTCCTACTCTAAAGTTTCTTTTCCTCTGTTAGTTCCCTCACTGAACAAATACGTGCATCACAGTCTGCACCCTGTATCCTCATTTCCACCAGCAGAAACACCTTCTGATTAATTTACTTTCTTTTGGTTGTCAAGAATCAATCATCTATACTTCCGTTATTTAAACTTACTTGCAAGTCCCTGCACATTCAGAACACAAACCACCACCACCATCTGTTACAGTAGCTACAGATGCTCGGGCTACTTGAACTTGCTATTACTTTAAGACAGCGTAGTACACTGTAATCTTTTCTCATGCCCTTACCTCATCTTTCACTGAGCAGGAAGGTGGCAGTGGTAGTGACAGGTAATGATCTTTGTTAGCTGGGATTTGTGAGGCACAAAAGCATTTTCCTTTATTGTCTGGAACAAAATTTTAGAAGATGGTGTCCTGCTGCTTATAGCAGAAAAAGCAGGTTATGCCATACCAGATGAGGATGACTGTCTGTGCAGCTGAGCTTTCTCTTCTTACTTATCAGTCTATGTTTGTGAGGGCAAAAGGCTAGCACCTTGTTATTTCAAAGTGTCTGTAAATGTGTTCAGAATAAGTACTTAAAAGAACTGAAAGCTGAATGTTAAACCATGAATCAAGTGACTGGGATATATGGGTATGGCTTTAGTCAGTAGTATTTTTGTCACATAAACCACAGAGTGACATAATTTTCAAAGCTGTTGTCAGCTTCGCAGAAAAATGCTGTGGAAAACTACATGATTTTTTTCTTTAACTAATACCACTTTGAAAACCAAACAAGGGAAAAAAGGAAGGTATTTTTCAGTAATGTTCTTTATGCAATGCAACCACAAAGTACTACACGTTGATCATAGGACTCATTTTTGTACCTTCAGAATTTTGACTAGTAAAAAGTACCTTTTCAGTCCTATCCTGCACTGATGTTTAGATACTGCATAAAATACACACATGGACGACACACACTCATCACTCCTTGAATCTTTTAATCTGCAGCTACAGTTCTCACATCTCTCTAAAGAAGTGCGGCTGCTGGAATGTCTCCATCTCTTCCTCCTTGTACCCCTTTCCTTTCTCTTGCCATGTTGAAAAGAAGAAAATTATTTCATTAACCTCCCTTTCTTTCTTGATAATTTTACTGTGATGGTACATATACAATACTAACAGCAAAAATCAGATACTAACCACACAGTATCTGTCCATTCACCTAGCTCATCCTCTCCCTTCTTTCTTTTATATTTGCCCTCTGCTTTTGGACAGCAAGAGTCAACTGCTCACTGAAGCATGGCAGAGCGGGAATGGAGTTCCCAGGGATGCCGCCTGCCTGTTCAGAAGCAGGTACTGGAGTGGGGCTGCATGCACTGCTAGCAGCCACATTGCTTGACGTATGTCTCCTCCAGAGACAGAATTATCTCAGCCTCACAGCTAGACCAAGCCAAGATTTCTTGTTCTTGAACTCTTGGCATTCATTTCCAAGCATTTGATGTGTCATTGTTTTTATTACATTACGAAAAGTATGCCGCATTTCTTTGGCATTTTAAACTGGTGAATTTGTATCCACATCACTGCAATGAAATCAGCAACGCAGACCTTGCAGCTATTTCCATAAGCTGATACTATCCATTTTCCATTGCAGAATATGTGATCTGGGAGACTGTAAGTCTTCAATCTGGCAATTCAATGTGACAATTCTGAGCACGTCAAGTGCAAATGTCGCAGTAGTGCATTGTACAGCTGTGAACCAACTTTGGACTATTTCTGGGTTTTTAATAATCATGGCTATTAGCGGCACATATGTACCGTGTGCCTTTTCATATACCTGTAAAAAGATGGATAGGTCATGACCATCCTTAAAGTCTCTCTGATTGCCTGTAGGAACAACATATAAATTAGCATGTGTCCAGTTCGCTGTTTTTCATCAGATTCTTCATAAAACCCTCAGATGTTGCACCATATACCAGTCTTTTATTCTTGACATCAACCAAGCGTGAACAGTATGGTCCTGTCTGAACTGAATACATTTAGTCATGCCTGACTGAAAACTTGCATGCATGAAACTTCAACCCTGCTTATCTTGCAATTTATATACATGAAAATAAAATTATTACAAGAAGTTCTTCCCCTGTTCATGATAGTCCAACACATTGAATATCACTTTCATTTTTTCCAAGAAGCAGCACTTCACAAAATGGGTAGCAGAAATACTAACTCTGAGTATCTTTATATCTTGAGAAAAGGAATGTGTATAACTCAACTTCTTCTAGCACTTTGTGGGGCAAGCAAAAAACTCAGAAAAATAGCATAAAAAGGTGTTATCAAGGAAGGATCTGGTAATTGCATTACTCAGCACCATGCCATTATGAGACACATCATAAATAGCAAAGCTGATGCAGACATCTCTGGTACCAAAGACTCATCAGGAGGGAGAGTTTCAAACACCAAAGCAGAAGATGCAGCTGGAATATAAAACACACTGAAATAACAGTCAAGTCTCACCTATCACTCAAGTTTCGTGACAAAATGCAGCCTGAGCAGAGAGAGCCTCTGCAGATCAACCCTCCAGCACTAACATCTATGGCCAAAGACAAACTACTCAAGCAGTCATCATTTACAGCTGTTACCACATATTGGCACACAGGCAGAATTAGTTTTCCGTCACTGGAAAAGACCAACCATCATCTGTTACTAGAGTTTGTATTCTTCCCACCTTCAAAGTAAGCTTCCTGCTGCACTCCTTGGAGACCTCCAGATGTCTTCTCCATTTCTTACACAGGACTACGCACTGTCTCAGTAACTGCATCCAGCTCTTCAAGAAACAAGAGTGTTTTCACCCCTATTAGTTAATGGTTGTCTAGTGAAAAACCTCTTTTTCTAACTGTTAGAGCTTATCACCTCGCTACATATAAGCCCTGTCTTTATCCTGTTTCAAGGATGTGCTGGAGATCTTTAAGAACACCATCTGAGATCTGTAAAGCAGCAACATGGAACAGTGCACCAAACTCTGATAAAAATTACACCCTCAGCATGGAACCCATGGTAGATATGAAGATCAGAATTGGCATATTACAGTCAACTTTGACTAAAGACAGCGCCATCCCTTTCTCTACAGGAGGTGCGCTGGCTGGGGGAAAGATAGAGGCAGGTGCACATGCTGGGGTCCATGCTAGCAGGTTGCCAAAGAACGAAAGAGTGGTTACTTCTTCAGTAACTGTGGTTCTTCTTCGTGATCTGGCTAGCATGAATCCCATACCCAGCTTTCGGCTCTGATGCTCAGTCCTCAGTCTCAAAGGTTTTGAGTTGCTACGGTATTAAAAACAACTCTTGGTGCTTCCAGGTTTTATACCATTACACAGAGACCTGAGAGAACTTGCATGAGCAACATGGTTTCAGTTCCACTGATGACTCCAGTTCACAGCTACTCCTTTTTTACTTCAGGCACGTGCTTTTATAATGAGAGTCCTCCTGACAGCATCAAACCGTTGGTTATAACCTGGAAGTTCAATAACATATGCCCAGTAGAACAGTGTGCAGCAGCCACACCCTCACATTCAAGATACTACCCTCATTCTTTCAAATATGAGAAATAACTACAAGTGTTCTAGTTCTATCAGCAAACTAAGCTTCAGCTGGATAGCCAAATCGAAGTGACCAGTGAGGTCAGCCTTGCAGGGAAAATTATGTGGTTTTTTGGGGCAGGATGGGAAAAAAATTTTTGGAAAACTGTATGATGTTATCCTTGTCTGTAGAATTACTTTTGATTTCATACTCAGCTCAGTTTTGTCTGTGCATTTTAGTAGTAGGATATCTGAGAAGAAAGTCACAGCAGTTCATGGATTTGAGACTAACTTGGCGAGACCTCTTCAGTATAACTATGTATTACTTTTTTGCATAACTCATTTTTCAGTTGCGTTTAGTCACTTTTCCCATTAACAATTTCACCATATAGCAAAAGCACTGTAGGATAAATCATCTAGGATTTGGTGTAACATCATCCAGCTGAAGTGAAAGGAATGAAATGTTTCTTAATCTCAGTATTTACAACTGTTACCTGTTTAGTGTATGTGTGATATGAAATCCCATATATAACCTGAAATATATTACTGAATGCTAGCTGTATATGAAATTATGTTGTTGATTTATATGCGAAGTGCACAAGATTGCTATGAACATGACATAGCACCTGTTGCTGTTCGTAAGTGTATACCATGTACATGCATGTATACCAAGGCAAAGATTGTGACCGTTTAGTGGGAGGAAGGGAAAATAGAAGTCTGCAGATACTTTTAAAGATTTTTGTGTACGGGAAACAGGCACTGTATAATGTATTTAATGAGGCCAAAAGAGGTATGTTTGGTAAACCTGTTTTTTCCTTCCTTTTTTCTCTCTCCAGCTCAGAACACTGGAATCTCAACTTTGTACAGGAATTCATATGGTGCACCTGCTGAAGATATCAAACACAATCAGGTAAGTACGAAGACTAAAGTGTTACTGTTGCAGATGGCAAAAGACCAGTATAACATCTTGTATGGAAACTATGAAAAATACCACAAAGGTTGATAAATCTCGATTAGAGGAACTGAGTCATCTGCTTGCGCAAATGCTAGCAATTCCACTGGCTTCAAACAAGCTACGTTCTTTATGCTAAGGGATAATTTCAGCCCAAGTTTCAAAAGTATCCATCAGGTTATGACAGCATATGCACAAAAATTATCTTAGGTGTTTAAGCCTATAACTCATAATGAAATCAAGAGGGGCTTGAGACCTGAATGCCTCTAAAGTTTTAGATACATGTGACATAGACTACAAAAGCCAAACTATTGTTAATGGGCACTTCTGCTGGCTCTGGTATCTCGTGATGCCCTGTGCCACTGAATTTGGTTAACTCCGGTCACATCTTATTACTTGAGTATAGCCATCATAAAATTCAGTGCCACTGGTGACACCACATGGCTCACGTGCTGAGGCATCTTAGCAGAAACTCAAGTATTGAACAATCTTGGAGAAAGAACCCCCTGTATCTTTTGCAGGGATGTGTGCACTTAACGTGTAGCACAAGCCCTCAGTTTTGCCATTTAGTCACCCCAGAAGCATGATTGTCACATGGCTGTTTGCTTGGTTGTTTTTTTATGTGTGCATCATGGCATGGGCAAGAGAAAATCTAGCATTCCACGGGCAAGGACACTTTCTCATGTATATGTATCCAAGCCATTCAGTCTAGAACTTTGGGACTCTCTTAAAATACGCTGTCCCTGAAAACCAGAAAGCGATGAGTACATCTGGATAAGGTGACCATTAGAAAAATGTAACTGGCAGCATGGGTGCCAAGCTAATGCACTTGCAGAAACAGTTGCAATAATGACATGTATGGCATTCATACAGCTGGTATTTCCACTATAGCATTTCCTCAATCCCTGGGAAACAGAAAACTGATTTTTGTTTCATCATTACGTGTAATGCTACTTTATACTTAGTTATCACAACTCCTTAATATTTTCACAGCTTCCTTACATGCAGAAGTTACAGGATTTCTCAACTAGAGAAATGAGATGAAAAACCATTTAAGGAAAGCACTTAAAATGATTAGTAGTATCAGACAGGTAAATTAATATTTAGTAAAATTGATAAAAAATATTTTTCTCCAAAAGTTTTACTAGATTACCTGAAATTTCAATTTAAGAGACCGATATTCTGGTTTTAATCCACAAATTTAGGTGAAGAGAGTTTCAGAGATCCTATGCCCCTATTTCTCTTTTTCAGTTTTGCTTTTAAATTAGCTAGTTCAGTGCATGAAGGTGTTTCTGCTTTAACTGTATTTCAAGAAATTAAGCCCTTCTAATTAACACGATATTTAGAGAAAAGGGTATGAGGTATTGTAACAGCACATGCACTCTAACTGCAGCCGTGAATCAACAAATTTGATTTTTGGGATGAGAGTTTGAGCAAAAACAAAGGAAACAAACAAAAGAAACCCAAAAACCAAGCCAAATTTTTCACCTTCCCACCTTTTCCTACTTGCTTTCTCAATGAACTGTTAGGTTTATGATTGACATATCAGAAATAATGTTTTTAGCTAAAAAGAACACAGAAATACTACTTCAGTCCCCTGTTTTCTACTCAAAAATTGACTGTGTTTAACTTTTTTGGCATATAAATAGGTTGCTTAGTATAGAATTTTTCTCCTGTGTCCAAAATTAAACACCTGTGTTTGAAGATGTGAAATTAAGCAAGGGGCTCAAGTATACAGCTTGATAGCAGTACTAGAAATAGAAACTGGAGTAGTTACGCTCCCTGGTGCTGCTCTAATGTTGGGCCTGGTGTTGTAAGGTCACTTGTAGGATGATTAAAGGACATAGACAGCCTTTTCAACTCTACGCAGAGTCCAATACGGACCAGCTTTGAAAGCGTATCACAGAGTTTGGGACATAGCAGTGCAACTGTTCCTCTCTTGAAGGAGCATTACTAAGTCTTGCAGACTCAGCAGGGTCTGCAAAGTCTTCTGACACCAACGTCTGAGCATCAGTATTCCCAGTGATGCCCATTTAAGGATTGAAAGGTTGTATCATTTAGCAGTCAAAAAGTCTGCCCAAACTTAATAGAAGTGGCATAGAGTGAAAGGTAGTGTTCCAACTATAAAAACAGAGACTCGTTAGATCTGTCGGAAAAAAAAACTTTATGGCAAACTTAGGTGAGGGGACTGCCTGAGATTTTTTTCCTGCATATCATAAACATTTCAGCTTCAAGGCAACTTGCTGGAATGTAGCAACAACACAAGATTGCCAACACGACGTCTTGAGGAGGTGGTAAGAAGATGGTTCTGCTTAACAGTAGCAGAAGAAGACATTTCAAGGCACATAGCTTGAAATTTTCTAATGTCAGAGCCCCGAAGACTATAAATGGTTCTTAAGGATACGGTGTCGCTCTAAATCTCACTTGTGGCAAAGGCAGGTGCAAAATGTTTAGCATCTTTGGAGTGTATCACTTCCATTCAAATTCTTCAAGGCTGAGTTTTGGCCACCAATGTTTGCATTATATAGCTGCAAAATAGTCATAAAGTTATTCATAGATTATAAAGTAACTGTAAACTATGCTGCTTGAACTACTTTTGAAGTAAACCAGCGTCTTTAGCAACGATAGTATCAAATAATAAATGCATTTAATAATAATATTAAATAAATAAATGTAAAGACCTGTAATGACAAGGCAAAGCTGTAGAATTAATTCACTGCCATGTAATACCTTGAGCAGATGTTAAGATAATGCACAACTTGTATTTCCAGCATGATAAACATAGAGTGACATTTACTCCTTCTTCCATCCTGTTGCCCACAGCAAGTTGTGTGTAACACGCTGTGGGTATTACTGTCTTTCAGGTTTCAACACAGCCAGTTCCACAGGAGCCCAGCAGAAAAGATTATGAACCGTATCAGCCATTTCAGAATTCAACAAGAAACTATGATGAGTCCTTCTTTGAGGACCAAGTGCATCATCGCCCACCTGCAAGTGAATACAACATGCACCTGGGACTAAAGTCAACTGGCAACTACGTCGACTTCTATTCAGCTGCTCGTCCCTATAGTGAACTTAACTATGAAACAAGCCACTATCCAGCCTCTCCCGACTCCTGGGTTTGAGACTTGGGCAGATACAAAAGCTCCAGGAACTGTGCATGTGCATGCATACCACAAGACATTTTTTTTCCTGCAAATTTAGTTTGTTAAAGACTGTTCCATAGGAAGGCCCAGATAACCAGTATGGAAAAAATTAAGAGATTTTTTTTAGAAGGCTAAATGATATGAAAGCTAAACCTGAGAGTAATTAGAAAGAAATATATATATACATATATATATTTTACAGTGTAGGGCAACTTTACTGTTGGCCTGTAGAGTCTAAAGTTCGGGGCTGTATATTGAATGTGGCTGAAGGAAGGAGGGAGAACATGACGTGACAGTGGATGTGGGTCAAGAGTTAAGCACAAGTAACTGAGCAGCGTACATACTTTATGGGGAACAGCTTCTCACACTTTGTTTAATATTCTCATTCATTGTGAATCTAGGCTTCAAGTTGCATTTGGGGTTTCCTCTGTACAGCAAGATGTTTCTTGCCTTTTGTTAATGCATTGTTGTAAAGTATTTGATGTACATTACAGATAAAAAAAAAACAAGTGCATTGTGTATATTACACCAATGCCACAGTGTTTCTTCATCTATGGTTCTAAATATTGCTTCAGTTTCAAATTTTGGAAGATGTATGAATTTCCAGTTTTTTGTTTTCTTTTCCCCAGTGCGTTTTAACAAAAAAAAAAATCAAAAAAAAAAAATCAAAAAACAAAAAGGAATATTTAGCAGTATTGTTCGTTCTGATATGTGAATTTGTTTGTGGCAACTAAAAAAAAAGGCATTCAGCAGTTTCTGACAATTAACATTCATCATTCCACACTCCTTGTCAACAAAGTGCTTTTTCACTGCCTAAAATTTTAGATGTAGATATTTGAAATAGATTTTTTTCATTTATACCAGTTTTCTTTATGATGATACAGTGTTAAAAGAAAATAAATTACAATTGATCTGTCATCCATATTTGCTAAGAATGTCTATTTCCAAGAACCTACCATACAAATACACATTCTTACTTGTGAGTGTCCATGTATGCATAGTATTCTGTGTGTGTGTGTGTTTGAGTGTGTGCGTTTGTATGGCATAAGACTTCTTTTCATCCAATGTTTTCTTTGTTCAAGCTTCAATTTTTGTTTGATTTTCAGTTATTTTAAACAGTGGAAACTCCAGTATGTGCTTTCTCTTACTCACTCTCTTAACTGTTGATAGCAACTGAAAATTGTTAGGCCACATACTCACAAAGGAAAGGGTTATTGGATTTTTTTCACTGACTCCTTCACCCTTAGGTGCCATGTGCTTTAAAATAGCATCTCTTGATACTCTCTTGAGGAAATTTCGTTACTCTCCAGCCACCAACCAGCAAGTGCTCAAGGAAGGCAGAGTTCGATCTTGCCATCTCCCTGAGGGAATGGAAAACAAAGACCCAACAGACATGAGTCTGGAGTCTCTGAGCTCTTTGGGCTATAGAAGAGTCCAACTCATGAATCATTAGGACAATCATTTGTTTTAACTCATGCCAAAAAGAAAACCCGATCCCCAAAACACGTTCCTCAAATATGAAAGATACTGACCATCTCTGTACATTTAAAGTAAAACCCTGAAAAATAAAAAATGTAAGGGACAGAGATTTTTTTTGTTGTTTTAATTAAAAAATAGAAAAGGAAACTAGGCATAGGAGGCCAGAAGAGCTGGCATATTTATCCTAGCTCTTGGGATTCTGGAAGTAAAGAAAGAATCTAGTGTTTCTTCATTTCTTTAATTCAGACAACAGTTCAGCATACAGTTTTCACAGCATATGACCCACTACAAATGGAGTTGTAAATTGCTTAAATTACAATTAAGGACTTTGTTTTAGGTTGCAAACATTTCTGTGATTAGTCATTGTAATAGTCTTAACGTCACCTGGCACACTTCTGGCTGTGCACAGGGGGAGAAGTCTCTCGCAAGTCATCACCTGCTCTATAGGACGCAGCCCAAGTAGTCCACGCAGGCGGGTATTGTGATGTAGAATTGGTTTATTGGTAATCTAGGACTATAGTTTAATCTTTTTGGCAGCTTTTCCCAGTGTACGATATGTAACCTTATCTGCTCTTTGTAGTAAACGGGGGAAAAAATCGCATGCAAAAAAATTTTTAAAAAATTTAAGAAAGGGTGGGTGGGAGGGGCACAGTGGGCCAGATGTATAGTGAGGTAGATAAAATATTATTCATAGTTTTGGACACAGGTTGTTTATATTTTATTTATTACATTGATTTTAATAAGTGACATTTGCAGTGCTCTTTTGAACAAAGCACATTTTCAGTATAAAAAATTTTTTTTAATAAAGAATGTCACTTGCAACTTGAAGTTCTTCTTGACTGCCTGATAACCACCAGGCTGGTGCAGTTCTCCAGGATTGCCAACAGGCCGAAGGAATCCATCATTCTGTTTGAAGTTCTTAGGACAGGAGGTTATTGTAAGTTGGATTTATTTCCATTCTTCAAACTACTGAAATGCCCACATTACCCCCTGTCAGCTCCTCTTAGTAATTTCTTGGAGTCAAATGTTGACCATTGCTCAAGTGAAAGATTCTGGATTGATGAAGTGGCATAAAATACCTTTTGTCTATAGTTTGTGTTGGTTTTTTTCCATTCTTCTGTAGTGGCAAGTGCTCCGACTGATAACTTCTTGTTCACTCTTGCTGTACTGAGTTTTGAGAAGGTGTTGAATTACCTGGCTACTTTTCCAGGCTTGGAAATCCAACGCTGCTGCCATACTGAGCAAGATAAGATATATATGATGCATTCTTTTTAATATTGAGGAAAGTATCATTACCTATTGCTGTTCCCTTCATTCTTGTACTAGATTCACACACAGAAATAGAGAAGAAACGAAACTGTTCCAAAAAAAAAATGTATAAAATGCAATTGATGTACTGTAAAATGTCGGATTTTTTTTTTTAACAAGCTTCATATTAGAATCTTGTTCAGCTGTGTAGAGCTATATAAATCTCACTGTTTTATTAAATGCTGTTTATGGTCTGGAAGGAATGGTTAACCTATCTCAAGATTAACAAATTTGCACTAACATGAGCAATATTGATTTGAAAAAAAGATATTAATTCAATATTTAAAAGATAGACTATGATTTTAAAGGTATATTAACACTGAAAGTACATTTTGACAAATAACATATTTAAGCCCAAAATATAAATGGTTATGTCAGATAACACAAAAGAACTATAACAATATAGATTAAGAAAAAAATGTGTTTCACTGTACATGTCGCTAACATGTACAAAGACAAACTCATATTGACATATTTTCTATTAATAAATCCTACTGTATTGTGGAGAATCGCTGGTCATAGTGCAATATGTTTAAACTCAGAAGTTGACTCCATAGATTGATGCCTAGCTTCACACAGCCAGCAAACCCCCTGACATTTATTTATTTTAAATATTTTAAATATTACTTAGATAGCTAACTTCCAGCTCTCAAGTCATTTGCTCCCCCTCCCTCTCCATCAGGTTTATGAGCACAACCTACTCTACAACAGCAAAGCGAAGGGGGAAGCTCTTTTTGAGAGTGTCAACACCCCCTTCGCCCCTAATTATGGCTGCAAGAGCTCAGCTGCCACCACTTACAGTTTATCTACACGTGCAGATAAATACTAAAAATCTCAAGGTCGGTGCCGCTGGATAGGAAGACACCGTAAAAAATACTGCCTTGGCCCCAATGTTACGTAGACCACGGCCAAGAAACGGAGAGCCAGCCATTAATTTACACGCGTGTTGTTGGGAGTCCCGGCGTGCAGCGCACGGAAGGGCTTGGGAATAATTGTTTCCTGGGACCGGGTTGCATTAGCCTGCAGAAGCGTCTCGCCGGGGAGCCTTGCAACTAAAATCGGAAATGCTGACTGTCTTTTTTATAGCTGGGCACAGCAGAGGCTG